CTGAAAGTAAAGATGAAATCCTTGCATTGCTGATGAGCCCACAACTTAATGAGAGCCCCCAGAGTACATTCCTCTAGGTCATAAAAGGGAGAGCAGTGACTGCTTCTGCAGTTAGGAAAAGGGCAAACGCTTAGGATATGATGGCCTCTTCTTTGATTAGGAAGGTTTAGGACTTAGGCAAGAACAGAAGCTCTTCTTCAACTTCAGGGCCCTCACTGCTTTTGATCCCAAATAATCTGCTTGTTTTGCATAGAACTGGGGGGTGCAGGCCAGAGGCACGAGTGTAAGAGGATTCACCAGAGACAGAGTGGGGAGCAGAACAGGTGGACCTACTGAAATATACTGTTGAGGGGAGCGGTGAGCAGAACAGGAAAGGTCTGCTGTGCCATGTGGGTCACTTCCCTGGTGGGGATTAAACTCAGGCCATCATGGTGGTTGCGCTGAGACTTAACCCCTAGGCCGCCAGGGAGGCCCACAATGTGCTTTCTTTATGTAATGGAAGTAGCCCTTCCAAGGCTCATAGGGTCTTTTTGATCTCTGGTTCCCATACCAGGGAGACAACAGGCTACTCTGGATCTACTGAGGAGACTGCTACCCTCCCCCCACCAACAAACTAGGAAAAGAGAAAAACAAATCATTATTTATCTGGCCGTCTGGACCAAGAGGAGCATGAAGGTAAGATGCTGTGCCGTGCTGAAGCCATGTGAAACCCATCATTTCTGTGCTGAGTATGACAGGCCCCAAGTGTAAAAATACAAGAAGGCAGGAGGAAATTCTTATTGTTTTCTCTTCTGAACTTGGAAGAAAACAGTAAATTATTAATGGACTATTAGAAAAAAATCTTTTAATACTTCACAGATTCCAAAGCATCTCATATACTCAAAACCCATTCTTTCGGGACTTATCATCAGCCCACAATGGCAACATCATCTCAGGTTTATCAAAAGAAGGCCTGGGTCCACTCGGGCCTCTGCAGCAGGGACATGGCTCCACAAATGGTCATCACTGAGAGAATCACAGAGGAAATGTTTTTCACAACCTATGGGAGTTCTTTGTTAATAATTTTAGGAAGTAGTTGGGACATAAAACGACTTCCTTGCAGCCTTAGCAATTTCCCTCCTATTCTAAAATATTTTGTGTTTGTGGAAAATATAAATCATGCATTTATTTTTCTTACTAGAAAGAAAAATCTAACATGGTTCAAAACTGTAACATTCATCACTTTGTAATTTTTTTAAAGTTAACACATACATAAATAAAATTACACAATTTTCAACAATTTTTTGGCTCATTAGGGAGGGAGCCAATATAATGGTCATGTTGGGTCCAAGAATAATCAAAAACTGGGCATTTATAGGCATTAAAGTAAATGTTAGAATACAATGACTATGTTAGTACATACCCAGCTAATGTCTTACAGGGTAATAAAAATATAACTTTTGAGGTTCTATTGTCTACCGGACAGAAATCTACTAATTAATGTGTAACTTTATAGTGTCTGGATTCTAATCAAATAGTAAATAGCAAGTTTAAACACAGATACATTCTTCTCCAGCATTAAGCCCTCCCCATTAAACAATGTGCCTGCTTGACTCGGTTAGAACATGCAGCCTCTCACCCCACGCCCCATTTCTAAGTTTTGGATAATTTTTCTTAATAATAGTGAAGTGGTTAAGATGCTGGACAGACTGTATCCATAGTTCTGGGTGTGCTAGCTTTGCGAAAGACATTGAAATGATGCACTGATGAGGGAGGAACTGGCTGGCTTTGGAAGGCTTCACAGAGAAGGGGAACATGAATCACATCTTGAAATATAAATTGGCTTCTGAAGCTGAGAAGTGACAAGAGACATTTCATCAAAGTGGTCCCTTTGGCCCTTCTCACTAAGAGCCTATTCAAATTCAACACTTTTTAGGTAAAACTGTTAATTAAGTTTGGCTTCCCTGCTAATTGAGAGCAAATAATTGCAAAAGGCAAGTAAAGATTACCGAGGGCACAGTAAAAAGAAAATCAAAAGAAAGTGAAAAGAGACATCTGTAAAAAAGAAGACACCAGATTGATATTTAAAGAACCGCATCAATAACCTTAAGCTCACAATGTGGGAGAAATAGTTGCTGGAAGAATAATTAATGCTTAGAACACTGATCTCTGGCATCAAAAAGAGGTTAAATTATTTTTAATATCTTTAAGAAGGCAAGGGAATAAATAATATATTGAATATGAATTTACCACAATGATTAAAATAAATTTGGTGATTAAGATGATAAATTATGCATTTTCTCTATGGTTCTAAGCAAACAACATGTTATTGCACATCGCTTGCAAGGTGTTCTTCATTTTTATTTAGGCCAAAATAATTTTAATAAGAACATAAATGATACTTAAACTTGAAGACACTGAGTTCCCTGTGCCAGAAAAGCACACCCTTAACTACATTGTTACCTCAAGTGCCTCATACGGACACATTACCAGGACTTTCATCTCTTCTATATGGCCTATCTGTCCAAACTATAATCAGAGAAACAAACAGCATTTGCTAGCGATGCCACAGAACAAGAAGGTTATTTTGTCAGTATTCAACTGATGTTTTTCCTCCCCTTTTCACAAAGCACAGTTTATTCTATAACTGGAAATCAAACCGTTAAAACAGAAGTGTTTTCTTTCACCTACATTTGAAAAAGAGCTTTCTCCAGATAGATGTATATAAATCATTCAAGACCAAAACCCCAAAGCAAAAATGAATGATGATGATCAAATAAAATTACAATGAAAATCTATAACATAAATCCATTAAATAACATTACAAACTAAAATCCATAACTAAATCTCTTTTTAAATGTAACACTTAAAAGAATTCTTATAATGTTATATTGTAAACTATCTTTTTTACCTACAAAATTTTTCCTGAAAAAAGAAAATCAATCAGGAAGAGGAGAACCTTTGGGTTAATTAACCTTTGGGTTAATTCATGTGTCCAAAAAATTATAGCTCATATAATACATTCCACCAAAATCTAAATCAATAAATGCTTAGTTGACACTTAAATTAATAGCAGGTTGTGAATACTCTAAGGTAGATTAATCAAATTTATTTTTTATCTGACATGGCAACATTTTGTACATTTAAATCTTTCAAGGCATATTATTTTGAGAAAATACAAAAGGCACAGGAGAATGCACTTGTAATTCACAATACTCAATCAGAAATTCAAGTATATATTCAGAAATTCATTTTTAAAAACTAAAACTTAGTACTAACACTTTAGGCAAGATTCTATAACCTTTAAAATGTAGGACTGGTATAATAAGAGCACTGAAATTTCTCTATCATATATATAACCTAAAAAGAGACCAGAAACCTTCTAATACATAGCAAATAACAGTGTAATATTTGACAAATTTAGTCACTGTTACAGAAATATTTGGGTGGTCAGAATAAGTTCAGAGTTATTTGTGGCAAACAGGATTATCTTTTTAGGTGGTTTTGATATGACTAATATAAACCAACACAAATCTTTTGACTAACATATGCTTAGTAGACACATAAATTATTTTGTTTTAGACTGGTGAAACTCTGTGATCTTGAAATTTTACTGTATTTTAAGCACATTGTGTATAATATGTCGTTCTAAAGAGATCACTTTTATCATTTATGAGATGAATCAAAGTACCCTGTAGTTAGTGAATATTTAAAAATATATATTATTAATATTGTACTATTATAATTTTATTAAGGGGAGACTCATTTATGAATTCTTCTTTTAAACCTCTTACACTTTTTTTCACAATCCATTAGGATACTTATATAGAAGTTGTTTCTTTTTTAAAAAAATTTATTTATGCATACAAGGACTGGGGTACAGGCCAGAGGTACAGGGGTGGTAAGAGGCTTCACCAGAAAGAATGGGGAGTAGAACAGGCCGACTGAATGAAATATACTCCTGAGGGGAGGAGCAAGTGAGACAGGAGAAGCCTGTTGAGCCAAGTAGGTCAGTTCCCTGGCTGTGGTTCGAACTTGTGCTGCAGTGGCTGCCTATAGCTTCACAGTGCTGAGACTTCACCCTTGGTACCACCTTCTAGGGAGGCCCTAGAAGTTACTTCTTCTAAATACAACAGTAGGGCCTTTTGGCTTTAAATGCTCAGAATATTGATCTCTGGCTTTAAAATACATGTCAAAAAGGCCCTCCCTGGTAGTGCAGCGGGTTAAAGCACAGCACTGAGAAGTCAAAGCCACTTCCGCATGAGTTCGATCCCCACCTGCCCCGGAGGTGACCACATGGCGTGGCAGACCTCTCCTGACCCGCCCGCTGCTCCCCTCAGCAGTGTACTTCGTCGATCTGCCTGTTCTGCTCCCCACTCTGTCTCTGGTGAATCCTCTCACCCTCCGCATCTCTGGCCTGTACCCCAGTTCTGTATGAATAAATAAATAAATCTTTAAAAAAAAATACATGTCAAAAATATAACAATTAACTCAAAGAAGCAGAGAGCTCATACTACATAAGAATTTTTAGTGCATGCCCAATGTAGCTGAAACCCCAAACTTTAGCTTGTATGGAAAGTCTCTATGGTTTTCCTTGAAGTGCAAACAGCAGGCCCATCACTCTCCATCTCATACAAAAGACCTGGGGTGAAGCTTGGAAATAACTTGACTCCTACACAATCCCACGGTGAATCTCATGTCGTCTCCAGGTCCCAGGGAAGAGCAACACTGGGGCAGTCACTACGTCAGGAATCTTCCTCCCCCCATCAGGAATCCTCCTCCCCCCGTCAGGAAACCTCCTACCACTGGATCCGACTGAGACTGTTTCTGCCTCGGACTACTCTGTCCCCCGCGCACACACCTCCATGCTCCATACACACCTAACTCCTGCAGGTCACCCCCTGCCTCCTGAGGCAGTTTCCGACAGAAACCTGCATACTTACAATGTAAAGTCTTTCATTATGAATTACACAAACCCACCAAAGCAAAGGCATACTGAAGAACCACATGCATGGACTTACCTGTTTCTTCTGGTATTTGTTTATCAGATTCAAAAATAAGCCATAACATTTGGAATGGTTGGCCAACGCTACACAGCAGTCATGGTAAGATGTAAGTTTGCTGCAGAAATATCAAATGGGAAAACAAAAATAAACTGTTTTGTATAGAATTTCAATATATACAGTGTTAGTTTAAAAACAGACTTTCACAATACTGCCCAGTTCATAAAAATAAGTCTAGAAATATCCTACCCACCAGTCCAGAGAAGCCTCTAGGAGGTTTGTGGTCTCTTTTAGACTCTGAGGCCATGGAACAGGGGAAATTAAAAAGTCCTTTGAAAAATAGAAACCCAACTATTCTAACACATGAATATGGTATGATTTTATACATTTTATGCATTCACACAAAATCTGGTTGTATACCATCCAGGGTATACACTGGGGCCCCATCAAAAACAAATGTTAAAGTCCTTAAATATACTGTAGGTTAGTAATGATATATTAATATTAGGCAAAATGGATCTTAGGCAAAGTATTTAAAAGATCTCCTAAATTTCTAAAGCAAAACCCTAATATTGATAAACCTGCATTAGATTATCCAGATAAATGAGAGATATCCATGAATCTCTTATTGATACTTTAATAAAATAGTATCAATATATTTTGAAAAATTGACCATGTACTAGGCCCTTAATAAGTCTAAGTAAATTTTCAGACAGCTGGTATCTCACAGATCATATTCTCTGGTCAATGTACAATTAGCTTAGTAATCAATGCAAAACAGTTTTTAAAAAACACTTAGAAAATTTAAAACACGGTAGATGCATCACAAAAAAATATGAAAATAAAAAACCAGATTTGAATAACAAAAATATAACAAATTAAAATTTGTAGATATAGCTAAGACAGCATTTAGAAGAAAATGCGTAGCCTTAAGGAGTCTAAAGAGAGAGGAATTGAGTTTCTAACTAAGACAGAAGTATAAGATATTTAAACACATCAGAAGAAAGGAACTAAAAAGGACAAAATAGAAGGAATAAAATAGAAAACAAACATGAAGAAGTCATTCTGAATAAAAGATCAGTAAAATCTTTTTGGAGAAACTTAACTTTAATTGAAAGACAGATGTTTATGAATGAACAACTCACGTCACAAAGATGTCAGTTACCCTTACCCCACTCCAAACACTCTTCACACTCAGTATAGTTCCAGTAAAAACCTGATGTTCCTATACTAATCTTTGTTCATTCTCCAATTCAAACAGAAAAAAAGAATTTGAATCTTAGGGGAGAAAAGAAGTGAGGGTTTCACTCTATCTATAGCAAGACTTAAATTAAAAACAGTGCAGTACTGGTATGAGAATGGGCCAAACAGAACGTCTGGAAACAGACCTACCTACAAGCACGCTGTGCCTTGTATGTGACTGACTAGGCCCATTAAAAGCAGTGTAAAAACGTATGGTGCGTGTTCAGTTCAAGATGCTGTGGCAATTGACTGTCCATGTGGAAAATTGGATCCCTACATGCCATCATAGACAAAAAGAAACTCACAATGATTTTCAGTGCTTCAACATGGGAGTGATTAAGGACTCAGAGCAAAGTTCCAGAAAATATGGTGCTGAGAGATCAAATAGAGACTCATGCCCTTGCACTGGGGTCAACGACCAGTTCATTCTTCAGGAAATTTTGTATTTCTCTAAACAACTATAACATCATAGTTCAAAAAAGACCCCGTTCTCTTGTGAAGGATCATTATGTAAAAGCACTGGTAATGTAGCGGGGGGTGGGGGTGGGGGGGTGGAAAACAGAAATGCACAACTTAAAGACAGTTCAGAAAATTTAAGAGCAGCTTGCTCTGAGGCAACCTGAATTCAGATGATCGTCACTTCTGGAGTAAAATAAGTGTGAACGTGACTAAGGAATATGCCAAGTTCAGCCAAACAGCTGAAATCAAACACCTTCTGCTACAAATTAAGTCAGACCAGACGTTTCCAGCAATGGCCCCTTTTTTGAGTTCAAACTAGTAATTCTTGTTTCCAAGTATATCACAAAGTTTGCTTTGTGATTTATTTCTCTATTTCCAGTAAGCTGAGAAGCTTTGTTTGCTTTTGTTTTGTAAAAACTCATCAAAGAACTAAAACCATCATAGAGGCCAGTATCATATCCAAACATAGGAAATGGGATCATTCATTTAAATCATTTATTTTAAACAGGGCCACCAGATTCCGCTTTTCTTCTAGAAGAACTAAAATCACAAAAACAGGCTCCCTTGCTACCCTCACAACACATGTTAAAGATACCTGGGCACTTAATCATTATTTCCTGGAGAACTCTGCCTTCCTGCTCTGCCTACCTGAATATCCTGGCGATGTTGGTACAGACGTCCTTGTCCCCAGTGTTCTGTTCCATCACTGTGCAGAGCTGGGGAAGGGCGTTGACGCTCAGGAACTTAATTCTTGCTAGTGGCAAATCAACTAAATTTCTCAATGTAGCGGTCATCTAGGATAAAAGCATGTTTGGAGGGTTTATCTTTTCTTCTTTTAAAGATTTATTTTATTTACTTATGCATACAAGAACTGCAGTGGGTGTAGGCCAGAAGTGTTGGGGGTGAGAGGATTCACCAGAGATGTGTTGGCCTACACCAGAGACAGAGTGGGGAATAGAACAGGCAGATGTACCAAAATACATGGCTGAGGGGAACAGCAGGTGAGACAGGAGAGGTCTGCTGCACCATGTGGGTCAGCTCCCTGGTTGGGGATGGAACTGGTGTTGCAGTGGCTGTGATAGCTTGATAGCACTGAGACTAACCTCCACACCATGAGGGAGGCCCCGGGTTTTTCCTTTTAAATCTGAACACACAGCAACATTCCCCAGTGTAGCACCATGCATTCTGTAAGCTTCATTGCATCCAACCCTAGGCCTCCTCTCTCACCCGGGAACTTGGGTCTGCTCACAGTAGCATGACAGGAAAACAAGGAAAGCCTGCTTAGGTGCCCATTCTTGTTAATAAAGAGTCACTATACCAAAACCCTAGTGTCATCATGTAGCTTTGTTAACATTGTAAGACCTTAAATTATTACATGCCATATCAGTTCGACAGTTTTAGAAACTTCTTGTGCCATCTTCTTAAAGGTAGCTCAACTAATGTACAGGTTAAAGAACATTTAAGCCTTCTAGTCTCATTCTCTTCTGAGAGTCAAACTGATTTTTGTGGAAAAAAAAAAAAGAACAAGAATGTTCAGGAAAGTGATTGTTTGGCCTTTGTCCAAAGTGAGTAAGCGCCCCCGTTGGGTCAATCCGTTCAAGCTGATGTTGCTGTTTCCTAATCATTTTACTCTGCAGCATCACCTTTCCTTGTGGGAGAGAACAGGCACGCTATTGGCTAAGGGCATCAGCTCAGGAGGTGGACAGCCAGGTCAAGCTCCAGCCCCCCCTCTTACTCACTCAGGTTAGCTGCTTAGCCCTGAGCACACATTCCAGTGAGTAGAGCCGAGGAGGGCGGGGTACCGGTGAGGAGACGCCATGTGGCAGGCGCCAAGTGAGAGGCACCGTCAGCACGGTTACCTAACAACAGCTCCAAAATCATGGGCCCCCTTGGACTTCATGCCCAAAATGCAGACAAGAGATCACTGGCCTTCATTCAGCTGGTAGCAGAGGCACCCGCCCACTCCTTAGCCTCAACCTCCTCAGCAGGGGCTACAATCCCTGCTCACCCCTCAGGATGGTTGTGTGTATCCAACAGAAAACACGTGATGAATTTTTTGCACATTATTTTGTACATAAAGCATTGTGCAAAGATGAAGCATCATGATATAGCCACAGTGAGTATGGCTAACAATCACTAAGTTCAGAGGTATCTTTTATCTGTCTTCCTGTGTAACAATGGCAACCAAAAAGACATTCAAATATAATTACCTTAAGAACTGAGAAAATAAGCACGCTTCAAATAAACAAGTGCAAGTCTTATGCAGTCAGTTCAATTGCCCAGCAACTCAAGGAGAACTGCTTGGAAAGTGTCAGTATTTGAAATGTTGGAGGGAAGCAGATGATGTGGCATCCTGCTTACCCTGGATCTACACCATTGTTTCCAGTGCTTATGAGTGGGTGGTCTGTGAAAGTGAATAAACTCCTAGACATTCCAGGCCATCACCAGCGTTAAGTGGAGAAATCTTACCACCTGACCCGGCTCTACCTGTTCTCCTTCTTTAGATACAGCCCAGGTGCTGAGACTGCAGCTTTATGTCAATCCAAGGAATGACTCACAAGCACTCCCACTCAGACACCAAAGAGTACAGATGACCAGCCATGTGAATTCTGACTTGCACCCAGGCAACTACAGGCCACAGGATGCTGGGGAACTCACCCAGACATTGTGCCCATGGGCAGTTCCTTTTCCCTTGGCTCCCAGATATTTGAGATTGGACCTCTCCATCTACAGTCTTGTTCAGACATCTACCCTCTGCAAGGGATGTCATCAGCTGAAGCTTGTGTTCATTGGAGCTTCAATTTTCTTGTTTCAACATTGTTTTTTTCTCTTGAAACTTTGTTTTATCTCATTAAACAAAGTTAAAACAGTTCACTCCCATTGTACAACTTTCATACATGGCCCAAATCAAGAGTGATGGCACACATTCACATGTGATATGCTATCTAATGCCCACCCCGACCTGTTTACTGTACATTCCACATTGTGTGATGTGCACACAGTTGCATGAGCTTGAATATTCTCAAATATGGCAGGTGTGATGCTGGCAGAAAAAAAAAACAAAAAACCAAAAAAACAGTGAAACGGATACCACAGACTTGAAAAGCACACAGTGGTACTTCAGTATGAGACCTGACCATCGACTCAGTTGCTCAAGTCACAGATTGAACCCCAAAGCTTGTCCTTCCACTTCCTGTTGCCATAACCTAACTGGCCTTTTGTAGGATAAGATTCAGTGTCTAGATCAAGCTCTACAAGGGCCTGTGTGATCTTACCACTCTCTCCTATCTCGTCCCATTCAGTTGACTAATGTTAGTTTATCTGATATCATGATTTATTGTCTGTCTACTTCTCTATACTAAAAACTTCAGCAAAGACATAGCTTGTTTGCTTTTCATTGTGCTAACCCTGTGCCTGGCACACAGTGCCTCCTCAATAAACATTTGTACATGGCAGGAGTAAATGGATGGATGCCCGCAAAGGAAAGATGGGGTGTACAGAGAAGGGGTAGGATATTGGATTAATCAGACAATATCTTTGAGTAGATGAATTATGAAACAATTTTAAAGGAGAATTAAAAAAAAAATTGGGTGAAAGACATACAGACTATGAAAATGGACCCCTGTAGCTCCTGTTGGGTCTTGCTCAGGACAGCAGTTCATTCCTCGGTTCCTAATCCCTGTCCCCTTCCCTTGCACACTGCACACCTGAGTGATCACCTCTTCTTTCCATCATCAGGGTCGCTGTTTCATTTTAAGCAGCTTTCTGTCTTTCCCAAACTCCAGAGACCCGTGAATGGGCTCCATCCATGTCCCGCTCATCTTCCCACAGTGGCTTCATGTGACAGCGGTTCCAAAACTCATCCATCCCTGTGAGGAGACCTCCTCTGACTTCTGGTGGCCTATGGGGCAGTATCCTCAAGCCTCTGCACCACTCCAGACTCTTCTCTACCTCCCTTCCTTCCTCTCTCCACTTGTCGATCCTGCACCACACCCACCATCCTTGTCCCTGCACAAGTCCAAGCTTTTGAATAGACCGTTGCCTCTGCCCAGAATGTCCTGGTCTATCATACCCCTCTGCCCTTTCTCCTTCTCACTTCTCCTCTCTGAAGACATGTCAGCGGGGAATCAGGCCTCTTCTAGGTGAACAAACCATCCTGTTCTGCCTGTACTGCACCTGTCACAGAATCATAAATACTAGTTTCACACACCCTCTTTCTTGCTATAAGCTCTTTTCATTCTTCTTCCTATTGGCAGGACAACAAATATGCCCATTTCAAACGCTGGCTGAATGAAACAGCTGGCTGAATGAAACACAGGAGAACAGAAATGAGAGAGGAGGAGGGAAGACAGATGATGGGACAAGGGAGACAGAAGAGACTTTTCCCTTTAAGAAGTTTCTGGAAAGAAAGTGCCAGGGATTAGCTGAGGCCCTGGTGACCACTCCACCCCCATTTTAACCCCCTGAGGAAGTAGATCAGGAGGTCACAGTATAAGGCAGTAATGAAGCCCCACCACCCCCATTTTGAAAGACTGGCTTGAGTCACTCAGCTTACTGCAGAGTGGGGGTGGGCTAAACGCAGCACACAAACTGACTTTTTCTGGGAAAAAATGTAAAAAGATAGGGAAAAGACCCCACTGTGGTAACAGTAAAGGAAAATTCCAAGCCAAACCACTTAACTCTCAACCTTACTTTCACCCTTAACTCTCAATGGTATCTAAGTAAAAATGAAAAGAAAAAAGAAAAAATGCTTAGTCAAACAGAGAGAGAGTTGCAGAAGGCATTTAATAAGCCCTGCAGAGTCTGTTTTCAGGCCCCAGGAAAGCCCACCCACAGGGCAGCCCAAAGCAAAGCAAAGCCCTCAGGGCCAAGCTTTATACTTGGAGAATGTATTCCTTTCTTTCTGGACTTTCTAATTTATATTGCTCCTAACTCTATTTATTTATGTACACATGTCTATTTTATTGTACACAATCATTTAAATCATCTCAAATCCTTCATGGAAAAAAATTTAAAAAAAAAAAAAAAAGAAGGAAGTCAAGTTAGATGCACACATTGATGCTTTGTTCAGCTTCCAGAGGACTTACTGGAACAATTCCCAGCCTCTTAAGTGTCATTGCACCAAGAAACTGCAAATTGAAAAACATGAGTTTCAATTCTTATTTTCCCATCTCCTAATGTACAATCCCAAGGGACAGAGGACAACCAGTGGGGAGAAGGAAAATTAGGAAGAACATGGAATTGATCATCTATAAACAGAATCAATACAAATTTAAGTATCCTTGCTTATCAGCAGTTTTTTGATGATGTCTGGGTGCTTATATTTTGCAAAGAAGAAATATTCTGGCATATTTTTGGTTACTGATCTGATGTTGAAAAATGCTTAAGTTACACTTTACAATTTAAACTCACTCTTGATCCTGAGAGATACTGAACACATTCTTTTTTTTTTTTTTTTTAAAGATTTATTTGTGCATACAGAACTGGGGTACAGGCCAGAGGCTCAGGGGTGGTGAGAGGCTTCACCAGAGACAGAGTGAGGAACAGAACAGGTGGATCAACAAAGTACACTGCTGAGGGGAGCAGCGGGTGGGTCAGGAGAGGTCTGCCACGCCATGTGGTCACCTCCGGGGCAGGTGGGAATCGAACTCATGCGGAAGCAGCTTTAGATTCTCAGTGCTGTGCTTTAACCCGCTGCGCCACCAGGGAGGGCCTGAACAGATTCTTAATCAGGATGCCAGGCAAAATACCTGGTCCTATTTCACACTGAATTAGTTGAGCCTCATTGTTCTCA